CGGTCAATGAGGCCCGCGACTGTGACCCGACACAAATTGTCTGTCAGTCGAGGCATGGGGAAGAAGTACCTGGAAAAAAAACACAAGGGAATGTCTAGAATCAGGAAACTTTCAAAAGCACAGCTCAACAAATTTTTACTTTTTATGATTTATATGAAAATATTCACGAAAACTTTTAGTAGGTAAACCTGAAGGTAAGATACCACTGGAAAATCAAGGGATATATGAGCGGATAATTTGAAGCGAATCTCAAAGAATGAAAATGAGAAGGTATGTGGATCTATATGAATCTATATAAGCCTGGAGAGCTCAACTGGAATAGCGACGGGCCGAGGTTCGGTTCCTGACAAGGACAAGATACTTTTATATTTTTCATATCGTTCAGACCGGCTCTGGAGCCCACACAGCCTTCTGTCCAGTGGGTACCTAAACGTCTTTCCCTGGTGGTAAAGCGACCGGGGCGTGAATCTGACCACTCACCTAAATCTATAGCCGAAGTCAAGAATGGTGAAATTATACCTCCACTCTCCCATGCGTCTCCATGACAAGATACCTAGTTAATTAAGCACTGGAAAATTTTCACCTTTTAGTGACCACCGGGGGCTCCTGTGAAGGCGGTGATGAACCTTCGGGTAACATAAAATGCTGACAGATTCTTGACCAGCTGAGCGATTAGTAATTTCTCGAGTAGGAGTCCAATCCATGGAGGTAATAAATACTTAGTTAACATAAGAGAAGTGAAGTGCCTTTGACTAAGTCTTGTATGTCTAACAAAGAAGTGCTATATGATTAGCATGTATCACCTTGTATAGAGTTAGTGTCGGACTGAAGTAGATAGCAGTCTTGAGGAGAGCGAACGGCTCGATAAATTGTGATGTCAGCAAGAAGTAAACAATAATAATAATAATAATAATTAAATTATCATTGTTTCATACTGTAATGGAATTTTCTTTCGGAATCCATATTTTCACTTCACGGAACCCAGGGGTTCTACGGAGCACTGTTTGGCAGAATATTGACTAATGAAGTGGAGAAGGGAACGCTTGCTACCGTTCAGTCCAGAGCCTTTTGTCTTCTCTTCTGCTGTCTAAAAACATAAAAATTAGGACATACAAAACTATAATTTTGCCTGTGGTTCTGTATGGGTGTGAAACTTGGTCTCTGACATTAAGGGAGGGACATAGACTGAGAGTGTTTGAGAATAGGGTGTTGAGGAGAATATTTGGACCGAAGAGAGATAAAGTGACAGGAGGTTGGAGAAAACTGCATAATGAGGAGCTTCATAACCTGTACTCTTCTGCAAGTATAATTAGAATGATCAAGTCAAGGAGGATGAAATGGGCATGGCATGTAGCACGAATGCGGAGACGAATGTGTATAGGATATTGGTGGGAAAGCCAGAAGGAAAGAAACCACTGGGAATACCAAGGCGTAGGTGGGTAGACAATATTAAAATGGATCTTAGAGAAATAGAATGGGATGGTATGGATTGGATAGATCTTTCTCAGGATAGGGACCAGTGGAGGGCTCTTGTGAACACGGGAATGAACCTTCGGGTTCCATAAAATGCTGGGAAATTCTTGAGTAGTTGCAGAATTGGCCGCTCCTCAAGAAGGGCTCAGCTCCATGAGTGAGTAAAAGTAAGTAAGCGGGGAAGGGGAATAAGAAGGTAATAAGGAACAGCATTCGATAGGCAACGGTTCACAATCCAGCTGTGTTAATACTCATCAAAATGTTTACTTACACTACACTGCTGTTCCTTTCGAACCAACGTGTAAATTCGTCTCGGTCTTGAAGAATTTGTGTAATGGCGCATTTCGTGGAATTATAGGCATCCAAAGTGGCGAAGACTTTCAGCATCTTCTTCTTACACTTTAAGTACAGTAACTCTAGCCGTTTATCATCTAGAGGCATACAATAAACGCAAGTATTAAAATATGTCACTACAGACCTCCATGAAGCAGATGAAAGCGTGAACTTTACTGTTGACTTCCAAGCCAAGACGGAACGACTTCTCAGTTAGTGATACAGACTTTTCGCATTTATGCGTGTTGGCTGGTGACAGAGCGCATGTGCAGGACAGGCTACCATTTTGTACATGCTGTCTCGTACCTGGGGCTTGCGTGATTAATAAGACGGGTTTTGGATATGATGATTGAATTTATTGGACCTCTGTAAAACCGGTTACAACAGTTAACAAATCACTATCTGACATCTGACACACTGTCTTCTTCTTGCGACTGAACACTCCACTGGAACTATTCTGACTTCAACCGAACTGTCACTTCAGTCACATTGCGACTGATGGTCAGTCATTCAGTCAGTCAGTAAATCTTGGTGTCGAGCCTCATCTGGGGTTCATGACCAGATATTTATTACACTTTGACAGTTATGATCTTGTTTTTTGTGGGGCACCCTCTATGACGAGAGGACGTGTCTGTCTTTTGTATATGCTTCTGACACTTGCCAGCCCAGTCTTTCTCGGGTCCGAGTCCCTTGGGACTCGCGACCATATTTTACTGTCTCAGATTTGAGGCTTCCCTTTACGTCGCCTCCCACGACTCGTAGGGTCACGGTGGAGTAAGCTATCGGTTATTGTATTCTTTTCATTTTATAGCCTAGTGGCGGACCACAGCGCAGAAAACATCCGTTGCCTGGCGAGGGATATATGGGAACCACATAGGAAACGCATCTGGCGACACCGGTTCTATGTTGCATGTGTGTCGCGAGTTGCTTAGAATTGAGCCTAATCAATTGTTGGTTGCGTGTTTGTTGCGGGCTTGTTTACCGAGACGTTCCTTAGCAATGGATCTACATGTTACAATATATTTCATAATTATTTATTTATATATTTATAGTTCATTTAACGCCACTGTAAGTAGCTGAGTTTGTGTAACGACAAATGATTACTGGATGTTGAATTCCAGATGGTGCTGAAAGAAGCGGGGTTGGCCTATTTCTGGTTACCTGCCTGCATCTTCTGAGAGGCTCGGAGGAAGGCCACGCAAAACGTGAATCAGAATAGACTGCGTCCCTGCCGTACTCTCAGAATACATGCCAGTGGCGTTACCACCTGCGTCAACATGCTCAGTCCGACTTACGAGTATATTAAAATCCGCTCTGATGCACGTGAGAAATAGTTGTGCATTGTTGTTCTCTTAACACTAATCAATGCTGGAAATCCGCGGAAGTGAAAAGGAGAATTTATATAAGGAAAAATTACCATTTAGGCAACGCAAAATATACAATGTAAAATGTAGCTTATATGCAATATATTAGTGTGATATATTTTTGGCATTTCTTGTTTTGAAAACTAAAAGTAGGCTTATGAGATCACCTTGCTGTCTGTGTGTCCCCTCTAACAAGCCGGAATGGTGGAGCCAGAAGAGACGGCCGTTACTAGGCAACAGCTTGGCAAACATATTCCCGCAACAGAATACAGACGCAACAAGAGAACTGTTGGATGCGGTGTTATCTATGCGGTGCGTGTAGTACCAAATATCCAATATGCAGATTAGATCTCTCCATATTTTTTAAAATTAATATTGTTTTTTTTTTTTTGTAAATTCAAGTTAGGAATAATTTATTAAATTCTATTTTTCTTGATAAATTTGCATGCGAACTAGATCTGAAGAGGCTAAAAATGAAATTCAGTTGTTTGTTGCTGAGACGCTGCTTGTACAGTCTGGAGCAACATAATAATGCACAGACACTTCAGTGGTTTCATACAGTTTAAATGGGTTTACATCGAGGAATGTAAACCCGCGAGAAAAAGAATTACCCTTCTGTAACATTAAAATTCACTTTTAATAAAAGTTGTTCATTTATGGAATAAGAAATTATATAAAAAAACTTATTTATGCCTATGACGAGTACTGTCGTCTGGGACATGACTTCGTGTAGTCTGGTAAAAATTTACCTGTTATGTTTGGATGGTAATGAGTTCATCTTAACGATGGAATAGCAAGTCAGGCAGACACGCAAGTAAACATGGCGTACTCTTGGACCCTGAAGACAGAAAAGTGCGTTTCTCCGCTGAAACTGTAAACTTCTACAAAATTGAATATAGTGCGTCCCAGATGATCTATCTATCTTTCTATCTATCTATCTGTCTGTCTGTCTATGTATCTAGCTACCTACACACATACGATAAACTAAAAATCTCTGGATTGGCCAAGTCCCTAAGGTTTTTGTTGTACTCTTGGTTGAATTCATTTAGAAGAAATATACAGTTAGGTTTTAAGATCTAGTGCTCTCACACCGACGGTTATGAAGAGTTCTGTCTTCAGGGATATAACGCCTGTAGTCCGTAGAAAGTCAACATATATTTCGTAGGAATATGTCACCTCAATCTTCAGCGTTGGAAATTAAGCCAAAGAAGACACCTGCGTTATATCCCAGAAGTTAGAACTCTTCATAGAATGAGGATATTTGAGTGCTCCAAACTAACCAATGTGACTGTGCAGATGAGGCTGCTCCTCTAACCACTGTTTTATCGTTCTCACAGCTTCTTTCAAAGTCTCCTCGTTAACTTCACAGGCATTTCTGATTGCTGCTAGTGTCTCTTCAGTCGGAGGGTCAAGCGACATGTTTGTGAGTTACACCTGGAGTAGCTGGTTGCGCTTTGTCTGGCCTCCGCAACTGACCTTTAGGAATTGTTCTTCAAATGCGCGAGAGTGCTAGACCCTAGTGTCAGTTTTACATCCTGTCATTTCTTTTATGTGCAAATTATTGTAGAAGATATTATGCTGAAATCACGTGTAACAGAGGAACAAGTTCCATTTGTGTGGGTCATTCAACTTCGTCTGATACGTCACGAAGCCTGGAACGGTAGACATGAAGTGGACTGTGTAGAGATCTCAGACGAACGAAGTGGTATTGCTGTGTTATTTATGCACTTCTTGAGCAGTTTTACATTTCGGCGTTTGTGAGATTTGAGGTTCTCACTGCGGTAACTATAAGGACCACTCTCTTTGAGGATGTGACGTCGTGTATTGAGGTATATTTTACTTTCATTTCGCAGGAGCTTCAATTTCCAGGGTTGCTGAATAAGACATGGGAGCGGTTTTTTTTATTGGTTGTTTTACCGAAACCTCGGTTAACTTCCAAATTGCATGGCGTCACATTCTAGACTGCAGCAGTCTTCTTAGGATTGTGACTACCTCAAATCCAACATCTCAGCATTTCTTGTTCACAGGTCACCCATTTAGTGTTCCATCTCTTTGGATGGAGAATATGTAATTTATAATTCAAATTTATGATAAATAAAAAGATATTTTTTTCTCTGTCCTTAACTAATTAAGCACTACGCCATGAAGGCGTATGGGGAGTGGATATATACCCCGGGGGAAGAGCCCCCGGTACTCATTGTATAGGAGGCTGGATGGGCCCCAGAACCAGTCTGGACAACTTGGAGAAGTGAAAATTCTTGCCCTCACCTGGACTCGAACTCCGAATCCTTGGTCATCCAGCCCGCAGCAATGTCTCATGCAGACAGTGAGACGTAACAAAGACACACTTTTACTTGGAGGTGATGCACCTGTTTCGCGTTTGCATCCGTGTCCAACCGCGTGAGGGATTTGTCTTTGTTCAGTGAAGAGTCCCTTTGATTCCTGAACACGCGAATGGCTGGACAACTGTTTATTAAACTTGTCATTTTGGGTGTTGACAAAATGTTCAGATTTTCCTGGTTGAAGCTGTTAGCTTCACAGAGTGACTTTCCACACAGTTTTCATACAGAGGACGTCTAGCCACCCTCTTCCTGCCATCCCATTTAGCCAAATAGCTGTTTTTTTAATTTATTTTTGCAGCAAGCTGATTAGTCTAGTGCGCGTGTATTTTCTTATGATGACACGGAATTGATTTTTCATGACCAGTCTGTACTTGACGAGCTCATCATCTATAATAGCATGTGAAATTAGGTTTTCTCCATAGTTTAGGTACCTATATCTTCGACAGATTTTTCCTTTTCTAAAATTAGACTGCACGATGCTATCGGAACTCAATTTTTTTACTGATATTTTCAACCTCATTATCTTCTTCCGCAAGGTTTTAATAGTCTGCGTATTTTTTTCTTCGGATAACGATCTTTTCTTGTTTTCTAAGGATGCTATTCAACTGCTTTCTAAGCACATCTGAACGAACTGAAACACCCACTACTTCAAAACCGCACATGCTAAGGAAACATCGCAGTTGTTGCAGCAACTCCATATTAAGATATACCTACAAATAATATTACACAAATTGCTCTAGAGAAATTCGTTCAGTACTTTAAAGCTTTCTTAATATGCTTCTGTACGTTTAGCAATGGAAAATAGAGAGATTAATGTGCATCAGACTAATCCGAAGCGTTTCAAGTATTTTTTTTTGCTAGTGGGGTGGGACTTGTACTGCGGCCACTTCTGGCCTATTGTACCAGCCCCAGATGATAGGTGAGGGTGATTGTGAAGAAATTGGTGGAATGGAGATTGGCAGGCGAAACCGAAGTGGCCTATTGTACCAGGCCCCAGCGCCACTTTGTTCACCACAAATTCCACTTGACCATACCCGGGATCGAACCCGGGCCGCCGCGGTGGAAAGCCAACGACTAACCGCTTGAGCTATGGCGCGGCTGCGTTTCAAGTACCTTTATATTCACTGGCTGTACAGCCCCCTTGGGCCCTGACATCTGATTTCTCAGTTTCACTGATAATTTTTACAGACGATAGGACTTATTGGACGGGTGATCAGCTGGACGCAAGGCCTCTAACTAAACATAGGACAACACAAACAGAATAAACACACATACCAAATATCCATGACTTGTGTGGTATTCGAACCAACGAACCCGGCTTCCGGGCCAGAGATGACAGTACATGCCTTAGACCACTCGGCTACCGCGGCGTTTCACGTACCTGACAATAGAAATCTTGTAAAGAGAAGCAACCAACGATACACACACACACGATCAGGACTGCTAACGCTACTGACGAGCGTAAGGTCTGGTGTATCACGCGCTCTCAGGGTTCCTTGCAGTTGTCAGCAACAGAAACATTCTGGAAACTGGGGGTCCACAGAGCCCGCACTTTGAAATATTTATATGTGTGTACCAGGGGCTCCATACCTCATATCCGCAACCCAGTGATAATAAAGAAAATTTAAAATATATAAATGAAATACAGTTTTCAAGAAGCTCTTATTTAAATATTTTCATCGAAATAGCGACAGCTTACAACAGATATTGTAGGAATTTAGGTTCACACAATGGTGAGATATATCTCCTGAGATATAACGCCGTATAATACGTTAAAGTAAGGCGAAGTGCCGGAGGAAGATATGGACTCCATCTTCAGGTTCGGAAAATAAGTCACATAAGATACCAGCATTAAGAATGTAGCAAGCAGAATTCTCCTTGCTAGGCTTATTCTTGGACCCTGAAGATGGAGATGATCTGTTCCTTCGAAATGTCTGACTTTCGTCGAAATACACATCGTTATATCCCAGAAGAGAGCTTTACAGAGGGATACTATTGGCACATCTGGCTACGCGTGGAGTTAGTAGTGCCTAAAATAATTGCATGTTGCGCTCTGTCGTTTCACTGTGCTACTGTCATCACACGCTGCACCATAACAGAATAAACATGTGTCTGAATTCAAAATGTCTGGCATATCATTTGAGTAACAATGGTATGAGCTTGCAGTGTACTATATCGCCCCCAATAGCACCACATGTATAGAGATCTGAACCTATGCCCTTTTTAATTTCGACGCTAGTCTACGTTGAGTTGTCTGAAGGATCCTTCGAAACCAAAGAGCTCTCCGGTGTCGATGGCTTTCTCTGGTCTCTTCGACTCATCCGACGTCAGGGCCCCCTCCTTCAGGAACCATTCTCGGTAGCTGTAGATCTTCTCTTTCCACTGAGCTAGAAATGGTTCATTGCTGAATTAATGCCTATAAAATTGTGTAAATTTAATAAAATAACATGATATATTTGAACACACGTAATGAAGTGTTCGCTTTATCCTGAATGTTCTTACGGAATTCTGTCATTTTCAGTTATGTTTAATAAAACATAGAAGCTACTAGCATTCTCAACTTTACGTTTAAAATGCTGTCTAATCAGAATAATACTCATAATTTCTTCCGTAAAATGCCTGAAACAATTATGAANGTTTAAAATTAGAACTAAAGATTTTATTATGGTGCTATTACAATAAACTCAAAATTAACGTGTGTGAAGTAATCTACGGGTGGACAGCTATCAACGAAGTAGAAGTTGATAATGACAGGGAGAGTGTTTTAGATGTTAAATTTTGAACTGGGTGCAGTGTGACAGCGACGTGAGTGTTATACACCTGATGATGGCCGTCTGAGGCCGAAACATGTAGTGTAGGGAGCAAGATCAAAGACACAAAATATATTGTTTGCACTTGAGACGGAGTTTATATCATTTATCGTATGGAGTGCAACAGGATGCTTAAATATAATATTCACTCATTCATTGAGCTGATTAATTCTCGAGAAGCCGCCAATTGTTCAGCCACTCAAGAACTTCCCTAGCATTTTATGGAACCCGAAGGTTCATTACCTTGTTCACAAGAGCTCTCCGCTGGTCCCTATCCTCAGCCAGATCAATCCAATCCATAACATCCCATTCTATCTCTCTAAGATCTATTTTAATATAGTATGTTTTATATATTTTGATTTCTTAACATGAATACGGACTTTCCTAAACGCTGGTAATCACGAAACTATACGGTGTCAGAGTTCAGAAGACCGTCATCTAATTCACTGACTCAAAGTGTGAGATAAGTTTTTTGAAAACAAGTCAGACAGATATGAAATCAGTAACAAATTGTCAGCTTTATGAAACAGTATTGAGTCGTGTCATTTATTATGTTTTAGAAGCCTTGGATGCTTAAAAAAGGAAAAAGAAAATTATCTGGTTGCATTTGAAATAACGATATTAAGGGAAATTTACGGGCCAGAGGGAAAATATTTCGTATAGAAGACCTGAAAATACTGATAATCTGTCTATGATTGTCATAGGAAAAGTTTAGAGTGAGACTACAAAGAGAAAGATGGTCTAAGTGACCAATTCTCAGTCTAATAGGGTTGTAGAGCCAAGAAGTGGAGGAATCTAGACGAATGCTACTTGATCTTCCTTAGGTCCGCACAAACATCACTATCTTATATTCTTCAGCTCATGGGGAGATGCCATATTAAACAAAATTTACTCACCCCACATGTCGAGGATTGAACCCGCTTCACCTCCGTACTCTCTAGGTAGAATTTTCGGAGGGATATATTCATGCAGAGAGTCGTATCCTTTCAAATATCCATCGCGATGAACAATAAGCTGTGGGGGGAATTTCAGGCTGTAAAATTCTCATATGATAATTAATTATATTATAGAGTCATGTATTGTTGTGAGCTGAACGTCTGAAGGGTGTTTCAGAGAGTTGAAACGTACATGGAATCGGTACAACATAGGACGATCTTGAAAACTAAACACATTTTTAGGAGTTCGCTCATGAATACTAGGCCGGAAATGAATCCGCAACAAACGGAATAGTGCGTCTATAGCATTTCCTGTGAATGTTGCAGAAGCAGACCTCTAGCCGTACGGCTCCGTGAACATTGGCGTAGTCTCAAAGAGGTTCGTCTAGAAAAATCAAAATTATCCCAACATGCCTATGAAGACGGCCATAGCGTAGGCTGGGATGGTGCTATGATTTTGGAAATTAAAAGTAACGGTAAATATAGGAAATACAAGGACTCGGTCCATATGGCGTGCTTAACCAATCCAATAAGCTAACCCGGTTTGAACATTTCTCGTATTTGGACCCCCCTTATGAGCAACGAGGCTTCTAACTGACGGATTCTTCATGGGCTTCCATAAGGTTTCAGTCTCGACTCCACAGATGGCGCTAGCGATAGGCACAGTCTGGTTTCACACATTCTGAATTTGAAATTATGCATTAGTTTACATGGGCTTGGTTTGTTGTCTAGGTTTGTTGCATACAATTTTCACCTCACTGTTTTTTTATTGCTAGTCTGGTGTAACTAAGTCCCACAAATCCCACTTGACCAGATCAGGGATCGAATCCGGGCCGCCGCGATGGGAAGCCAGCAACTAACCACTTGAGATAGCGGCCTCCGTAGTCTAGAGGTAACGTTCCCACCTCATGACTCGTAGTACGCGGGTTCAAATACCCGGCGGAGGTCGTCGAATTTTTAAGGGCGGAAAAATTCAGGGAACAAGTCCTCCGGGAGGGACTTTAAGCCGTGTGTCCCGTGTCGTAACTTTACGGCACGTAAAAGAACCTCATATCTCCAAAGGAGATCACTGAGCCAAATTCCGGGACGTTTACCGCCCAACAATAGTCTCTAAGGCCTCTGATAGATGGGGGAAGCATTATAGACACCGCGAAGCATTGGCCGAACTCGCTTGCTCGGCGGGACTGATGGCGCGCACCATTATCGGTAGGGTATAGAGACTGGTATAATATCATAGAGGGAAGCAAAATGGACCAATACAGGTCTAAGTGCATGGGGAAACCCACCCTCTCCAATAACTAACTAACTAACTAACTAACCACTTGAGATATGGCGCGACCAAGCACTGTCTATCTTAGTTTCAGGTCTCTGCATTCTTTATTACAATTTTTATTGCATATTTTCCTGTTATCTCCGTTCGATGCAGACTGATCGTAAAGTAACTTTGACTCTGACTTTTGAGATAGTTTATCCACTGATTGGGGTTAGCTCTTTCTAAAGAGTGGTTGGTAAATGGCAACTAACTGTTTTATCTTATTGAAGACCACGGCGTTTGTGCACATACTCACCCTATCCCTGTGTTTCTGTTTGACCACTGCCTTTCCCAATCTAAAAACTGCATCCATCAATTGAGTGGCATTCAGTACGTGAACTGTTTTTACTCTCGCTTTGTAACCTCTCTGAAATCATCAAAAAGTCACTTAATGAAGTATGATAAAGTTAAAACACGCTGAGCATATTTCTGTGCATGAATAGTTTGACCCATATCTGTGCATAATGTACATAAATTAAATTTATGGTGGAGTGGTGCATGTCTATATTGACGTCATATCTTCGAACTACTAACCGAAATTTATTGGTTTCTTTTCAGAAATGTGCACCCAAAGTTGTTGGCGAATTAAATTTTAGCTAGTTATCAGTTAAATGTAAAATCAAATTAAATTAATATGAAATAGAATATTTTCAATTGTATCGAGTGCCCGTCATGCCATGGAGATTTAGCAAAACGTATATAAACTCACTTCGGTTCACAATCAGTCGATATAGCGACGGGCTACTGGGTAGGGTTTGATTCCCGATGGGAGCAAGACATTTATGTCTACTCCACAAAGTCCATACCGGTTTTGGAACCCATTAAACCTCCTACTCAATGTATCCCGATCGCTGTTTCCTCTGTGGAAAGGTGGTCGAAGCGTGAAGCTGGCCACTCGACTGCATCTAGTGCCGATGTCACTCCCCCACTCGTCTTCATGTCATGCTGCTTAATTAATTTAGCACAGAGATCAACTTACCTTTTACATAAACTCGTGCATATGCGTATTATTAAAAATTACGTACAAATTGTGAACTGGTCATTATAAGCAGAAACAAAGAGGAGGACACTTTGAACCGGATCATTACTATGTAAAATCTGAGGTTGTCACAGCAGGGGTTATGAAGAGTTCTGTCTTCTGGGATATAGCACCATGCAGTCAATTCAAAGTCAAGGGACATTTCGGAAAAATACATATCTCTTCCATCTTATTGGTTGCAGAATAAGTAGCGACAAACTGGTTTCTTGCTTGTTTTATTCTTTGACCTTGAAGATGGACGCTTCATGTTCCTCCGGTACGTCGGTTGACTTTCAACGGTCTACACGGTGTTATACCCCAGAAGATAGAAATTTTGTAATAGCTATTAGATTTCTCCGTTATGCGTCATGCTGATTACAATCAATCAGTCGACCAGGTTATTTCAGCTGTGACTGTGCATTATTTGCACAACTTACAAAACAAGCGCATGTAGGAATGGTCGTGTGTGTGACCCCGGCCGTCTTTAACCTTCCAGTAATAGTAGGAATCGTGGCCAGCGATAGTGACCGTAATAACCACAAAGCTATTTCTGTAACAGTGGAGGCCCATTAGTTTGCGAGACATCGACCACATTTTCTAGACAATCGGCGGTGAGGTTGTCAGTCTTAAGCGCCGGCCGCGCTTTACACATTTCTGCTAGAGGCTGAGTCGACCCAAGGGAGCTAGTACGGCTGGAAGGATTAGATCAATTGAAAAATCCATTTACTTCATCGGGGATCTAACCCGCGACCTTCCGGCTTGTAGCATAGTGCCTCAACCAACTACGCTACAGCGTACCCCCCACAATAACTATAGTAAAAGTAAAGCTATCCAGTGTAAGCATTAGTAGGAAGGGCGGTGAATCTTCCTGTCGGCAAGCAACAACCGCTGTAACTCCTGGGATAGGGTTCCCGGTACCCGTTGGACACGAGGCTGGGCGGGCCTTAGCTTCGATCTGGAAGCTAGGGAGAAGAGAAGAATTTTAGTCCCTGCCAGGAATCGAACTTCGTCCTAAAGCCTGTAGTCTAGACGCTATGCAGACAGAGTTATGTAATCAGGGTAGTCATAGTAATGTATTTTTCTGCTGTATGTAATTTATACGAATATATCTGGAATTAGAATGCATCATGTCAAAACGCAAAGAGACCACGAGGAAACTGTGTTACGGGATGCGCTGTTAAAGACTTGTTTTCTTTGGATAAACAGATGGAAACTACANGCAACGGCTCGGTAAGCGCGTGCTAGCGGCGATGAATACATGCAACAATAACCGGAAGTGTCTTTATGTGGCCCGTGCCATATACAACACAAGGGAGAGCACGATTGATGAGACTGGGTCGGCGATACAATGAAAATTTGCAGAGGAAATTGAAGTTTTCGGAGGAAACTTGCCCCGGTGCCACCATTTCTACCATGAATCCCATGTAACCAGGCCTGATGGATAGTATCCACGGTATGAAACAGTTCGGTCAAAAAGAAAATTCAGAATTTAAAAAACCACGAAGTTTCTTCTGTTTGCAGTTTATTCCGACCTCCTGTCACATATTTTTTACAGATGCACCTACTCTTCTTAGGAGCCGGGATAGCGCAGTCTGTATAACGACTGGTTACAAGCTGGACGACCGTGAGGTCGGAGTTCATGTCTCGGTATGGTCAACAATTTTCTCGTCTCCACGCCGTCCAGACCGGCTCTGGGCTCACTCAGCCTCCTATCCAGTGGTTCCTGGGGTGGGAAGCTGGCCACTCCCCTCCAACTGTTGTTGTGGTGAAGAAAATGTGGATCTATACATCCATTATTCCATATGCATTCATGGCATAGTGCTTAATTAGATAAGAACAGGGACAAATTTATTTTTACCTGCTCTTCTCAGTAAATTTTCTCAATATCCAGAATTTATTAGCCATTTGATAAAGAGTCTATAAATAAAGAAAGGATCCAGTACGCTATAGAAATCATTCAGTTATCCGAGGGGCCTCGCCTTCTCTTCTAGTTTGTTTTACGCCGCTGTTAGTGTCTAGACTGTACGGAGTCTGATGGTGGGATGACGGATTAGTGATGAACTGGAAAGGAGTGAGTTACTATCCCAGCGTCTATTCTCAGCATAGTCAGTGTTCCCCCGGCGGCTCGAACCGAGTACTTATTTACTTACTTATGAAGCTGAGCACTTCTTGAAGAGCCGCCAATTCTGCAGCTACTCAAGAACTTCCCAGCATTTTATGGAACCCGAAGGTTCATTACCGTGTTCACAAGAGCCCTCCACTGGTCCCTATCCTGAGCCAGATCAATCCAATCCATACCATCCCATTCCATCTCTCTAAGATCCATTTTTTATGTTGCCCTCCCACCTACGCCTTGGTCTTCCCAGTGTTCTCTTCCCTTCTGGCTTTCTCACCAATATCCTATATGCGTTCCTCTTCTCTTTCATTTGTGCTACATTCCATGCCCACCTCATCCTCATTGACTTGATCAATTTAATCATACTTGGAGAAGAGTACAAGTTATGAAGGCTCGAACCGGGTACCTCCCGAATATAAGTCTAGAGTGTTACCCCCATATCAAGCAGCTTGGTAGATATTCGTGTTACGTACCAAGGCACAATATTTTTCACTTCAGGTATGGCTACCAGCCATACACTTACCAAAGCACATAACGCAAGCTTCTTGAAGAAGGGAAGTGTAAATTTGGCAGCATGAGCAGGGGTTCCCTTCTGAACGTCACATATTATTATATCTGCCAACATTATGTCTTCTGCCAACCGTATATCTTGGACCATAAAGGCCAGTTTCATGATATCCACAGGATCAAACTTTCTGATGTCGGGAGGTGGGTTTATGGCTGCAATTATGGTAACTCTGCAGAAATCGTTGGTCAAATTTGGTAACGGAACCACCAATCTGAAACAGGAGAAAACGTGCCAAATGACTTGATGTAAAATGACAAGTTTGAAATCTGAGGAGTTTCATAACTTGTACTCTTCTTGAAGAAGGATGAGGTGGGCAGTGCCTGGAGCACGAATGGGGGGGAAGAGGAATGCATTTAGGATATTGGGAAAGCCAGAAGGAAAGAAATCACTGGGAAGACCAAGGCGTAGGAGGGTGAACAATATTAAAATGGATCTTTTAGAGATAGGATGGGATGGTATGGATTGGGTTGGTCTGGCTCAGGATAGAGACCAGTGGAGGGCTCTTGTGAACACGGCAACAAACCTTCAGGTTCCATAAAATGCTGGGAAATTCTTGAATAGCTCCTCAAGAAGTACTCAGCTCCATAAGTAAGTAAGTAAGTAAATAATGAGCTTTCAGGTTATCAGGGATGTGAAGATTTATTTAAATACAAATTATGTCTTAGTTCAATTTGCTGGTTATAACCTCATGCACTCGCACCGTCGCCATATTTTTAATTGAATTTTCTTGAAGACAGAACAGACCAGTGGACATGTTCCTTGAAGTATGGGCAGTTTCAAGTAATGTCATCTTTGATAAATATTATATGGTTTTAATACAATTTCAGTACAAATTCTTTGTATACTCTTAATATTTTGAGAAGGCAAATATTGCAATTCTTACGTTCCAACTTAGGTTTAATTTTATAATACAGACGTGTTGAATAATTTAGACGTACAATCGTAATACTACCTGATGATGGTCCCATGAGGATCGAAACATGTACTGGTAGGAAATAAAATTCAGTCTGGCTATTGGTTGACTGATTGAAAAATCACTTTTGTTGTGTTGACGGAAATCTTATCATGCCATATAGTACAGGGTGTTCAATCAAGGAGGAAACTTCGCAACACCGTTGACCGGGCCCAATATTCCTCACAGATTGCTGCTGTAACTGTAATGGCGCGCGTTTATCAGCGCTAATTACTCGTTCTGCTATCAGCAGTTACAGTATCAATCTGTGAGGAATGTTGGGACGGGTCAGCGGTGTTGCGAAGTTGCCTCCTTAATTGAACGCACTGTAGAATTCTCATGAACAATACGTATGTTATGGTACAATACTTACATGCGGTCAGTCAGATCCTTAAACCACGGAGCAAAAGGATCTCTGTTGCTCAGAACTTCTGGAATCTTTCCTCTCAAAGTAAAATACATGTCTATCACAGATTTTGCGATTTCCATTCTGCCTTTACACTGCAGGACGACGCGTTCCAGCCGGAGATCATCTGAAAGAACACACTGATGCTGATGACTGTTATTTGCGCGTTACTGCATCGTAGCATATAAACCCATTGTTAGGAGACGACCGCAAAAAAACAGTGAGAAAACGGCCGTTGCTAGGCAGTGACCAACAAAAACAGAGGAATAATTTTTCTGCGCGGTCCGTTCCTAGATGTTATAAGAAGGACAAGTCTAGAGTGGGGTTCTGAATTCAGTTACTGGAGTGAAGCGAGTTGGTTAGTGAGTGAGTTAGTTAGAGGACTGTTGCTGTTAGAAGCTTACGTCTGAGGCACGGGGATAATTTGGGAAGGGGAACGTCCGCTGTTGGATGCCGCTAACAAGCCACAACAGGTTAAGATAAAGCACATTGAGAAAACTCTGTACGCGTTGTAATAAGCTGCACAGTGTGTGAATTAGCGTTAGTGCTATAGTTACGTGTACTTATGTTCTGTCAGAGATCAATAAATCCAATTACCAGTCCAGACCTCGTCTATAGTCACTCCATCACTTGACAATATTATGCTATCAGAAGCTAGACTATATGCCGTGGAATGGTAGGATGATGAATACGGGGTGGTCCAAAAATAGTACTCAGTCTTTGAGAGTCAATATCTTTGGAACAAACTGACATGTAGTTACAATTCTTGCGCGGTAGTGTAGTGCAATATTTTCTCAACAGATGGCGAAGGTCACGTGAGTCACGTGAGTGTCGTGCAGCGTGCGCGCTGCGAGCAGAAGACAGCAGCAACAATGGCTGAATGGTTTTTCTTTGAGCAACGCAAGGCTGTATTGAAGTGGTACTGGAAGTACGGAAACATTAAAGAGGTACAACGACAATGGCAGAATGAGTTTGGAACTCAGCCGCCAACACATCTAACAATTGCCCGTATTCGGGATAAATTTGAAGCCGACTGTACTGTTCATGATGTGCATAAGCAAAGATCTGGGCGACCACGGATAGTAACAAGTCCAGCTTCCAGTGCTGTGCTGTTGCAACACTTTACACGATCACCGAAAAAATCTGTGAATCAGTGTTTGGAGATGAGAGATTTTACCTACAAGATGGTGCTCCACCTCACTGCCATTGAGATGTCGGGGCGTACTTGGATGACACTCTACCTGGACGATGGATAGGTCGAAGAGGTGCTATTGAGTACCCACCACGCTTGCCAGACCTAACACCTCTCGACTTCTACCTATGGGGAACCTTGAAGGATGGAGTTTATCGACAAAAGCCAGCTACACTGAACGCGCTACGAGAAACCATCGAAGCATCGTGTGCAGCCATCACACCGGACACACTGACAGCCGTAGTTCGCTCAGCAGTTCTGCGGCATCGACGCTGTTCAGCCGCTGATGGTGGTCACTTCGAATACACACAATGACTCTCTCTCTCTCCGCCCAAGAATTGTAACTACTTGTCATTTTGTTCCAAAGATAGTGACTATCAAAGAGTGAGTACATTTTTTGAACCCCTCTGTACGTGTAAATGAACTGCAAGGTGTTTGGAAGGAAGCGGTGATGGCCTGATTTAGGCACTATCCCGGAATTGGCCTTCAGGGATTCTGTTAAACCATAAGAAATCTCATTCAGGTTAGTCGGTGTTTCGGTTGGGATTCGAACCGAGCACCTGCCGAAAACGCATCAAGAGTGTTTCCGCCAAGCTAACCCCTTCCTGTTGTTGTTATTGTTGTTATTGGAGAGGGTTGGTTTCCCCATGCACTTAGACCAGATATTGGTCCATTGTGCGTCCCCCTGTGATATTCTACCAGTCTCTATTCCCTACCGGCCATCAGTCCCGACCCAGCCAGCGAGTTCGGCCTCTACTGGCTCAGCGGTATCTCGATGCTTCCCCCATCTACCAGAGGCGTTAGAGACTACTGTTGGGCGGGAAATGTCCTGAATTTGGCTCAGAGGTCCCATTGGGACATGAGGTTCTTTTGCGTGCCGTAAAGCTACGACACGGGACCCACGGCTTAAAGTCCCTCCCGGAGGACTTGTTCCCTGAATTTTTCCGCCCTTAAAAATTCCACGACCTCCGCCGGGTTTGACCCCTTCCTGTTACAGTGATTCAAGCAGAAATTATTAAAGAAGTTTTGCAAGAATTAATTATACTGTTAATAATATAAAATATGTTCTTGCTTGCGTAATTTTGCTGCTTGTTTCTTGCTAGTTGCTTGCCTTGCATATCTTCGATTCTGATTCATCAGAAACTTCAGGAAACATCTGCTGGACTACAGAAGCTGAGCACTCCTCATTATCACAGCTGTGATAACCTCAAATCTAACACGTAAGATCTGATGTTCTAAAAAAATGTGGTAATGAAGTTTGCTGTGTTCTGGGACATAACGACATGTAGCTGTGCGTGCCACCTGATTCACGCTGGTTTTTACCTCGGTTTATTCTTCGATGCAGAAGACGGAGACGATTTTTTCCTCCGAAACGTCCGTTGACTTTCAACGAACTACACGAAGTTATATCCCAGAAGACAGTACGCTTCAAGTCTAACATGTTATCAGGTTGTTAGGCAAGGACTCATGTATGAGAACAACATAGAACAGTCATTCGTTCTGTGTTTGTGTCATCACTCCATATCACAGTTGTGACCTTTGCAGAAGAAGGGCAGCCTATTGGTATGCTTATTTTATCAGGCCGCCTTCAGAAAATCCCAAGATCATGCTCTGCATAATCATTGAATTCGTGATTTAAAAGTGTCTATCTGGGTCTGTAATATACGATCAATGGAAGGATTGTGTGTGGGGACCGTGGCTGGGGATGAGAACCGACAAATTTTCCCATCGAATTCTAAGCAGGTATTTCAATAATTTGTAAGACTATGTGTCAAGCGTACATACTGTGAGTAGGCAGCAGTATGGAAGGAAACCAATCTTGGTTTCTATCGTACTGTGTATTGCGGACCCGTTGCTGGGCAACGACTGCGAAATAAGCATCCATACAACAGCCGTTTCTAAGTAATGACCGCAACATATCCGCAACACGGAATAATGGAGTAACTGAGAAGTGATGTTCTCTACGCGATCCGTGCGATAGCTACGTACTGCATAATGGAAGAATGTTGAGAGAGGTGTTATCTGTGAGGTACGTGCCGAGGCTCTATAACGAGAAGCAGCTGTGTTTACAAGAGAGTCTTCAGACGTCAGTTGAGTAGGAATTAGTTGTGAGACACTCATCCGGCCAGTAAGGACGTGATCACGGAAGCTGAGGAAGCTACGAAGTTGGAAGCCGTTACCAGGCTATAACCGGTGAAGGTACAGCAGACTGAGAAGACTTAGTGCGCGCTGTAGTGAATTGTGGAGTATACGTGAATTAGTGGTATGGTTACTAGTAGTTATGATCTGTAAATGCGCAGTAAATCCAATTACCAATCCAAACCCCGTCTATAGTCACTCAATTACGTGGTAATATGTTGAAAATCTCGTAACTTTCTGCTATGATGTAATTATATATGTCATTCCATGAATGTCAGAATACACTTGTTAGTTACCATTAATATGCGGAAGATGAGGCTGCTTGTGAAGCCATTCTTTGAGCATCTTAACATAATCCTCAACATCCTGTTCGTTCAGTCCGAGTTCCTCGTATATAATATCGACCATCTCCGGTGGAAGACCTTGCAGCACCATTGTGAACGGACCTCCTGAAACAGGGAATTGAATTCAGAGCCCGTGTTAAGAAATAACCAGCAATATTATGGATATAAAGGTTCGGCCACACAGCGCTACGCTATGTTCGCTACGTACGCTACGTACGCTGTGTACACTCTGCGACGCAGCTAACATAGGGAACATAGCGTACCTAGCGTACGGAAGTCTGTGTGGCCAGTCACATAGGCAATAAAGGGAGATATTTTTCTGTTCGTATAGCGAACATAGCGTACGTAGCGTGCATCGCGTACGTAGCGCTCTGTGTGGCCGAACCTTAAGGAGCAAGAATAGATCATTCTGAGTGGTGATGCGCTGGTTGCTGCTCTACGGGGGGTTACATCTCCGACCGAAGCATACACTTATTTCTTGGCCAACTACGTCAGGACTGGTTCCACTCTCCTGCCCAACTCTCTCCCCCCTGAGGCAGGTGAGAAATAAAGTGGCCGGGGCATGAATCTAGACACTGACTTCCATCACAATGTCGAGGGTGCGTCCTGTTGTTTCTCCGCAACCCCCTACCTATTAATCACATTACTTGAAACCACATTCCTTCATTTTATAGCATGCAGGGTGTATCGTGGGAGCCGGGATAGCGCAGTCGGTAAAGTGACTGGCTACGGTTTCGACGGCATATGGATCGGAATTCGAGACCCGGTAGGGTTAAAATTTTATTTCTATCCACATCTTCTAGACCGATCCTAGGACCCACTCAGCCTCCTATCCAATGGGTGCCGGGGATGTTTCCCCGGTGGTAAAGCGGCCGGAGTGTAAGTCTGCAGCTGGTGCCGAGGTCTGGAATACGTAGGTCTTTGCATTCACTTGCCCGTTCATTTTTCATGGCGTTGTATTTAATTAGTTAAGCGCAGGGAAATCTTTACCTTTATAGAGCGTACCCCTTGGTAATTAAAGTTCCTATTTTGAGCGGTAAAATAATTTCGCTGCTATTGTCGGAATTATTATTTATTAGAGGTAGAATTGCAATATTGTTGTTCTGTTCTTGGAAGGTGTGGAAACAGGTGGTCTTGCCCCAATTTTATGTACTCTTCTGGAATTTATCTGTGGGGACTAAGGAAATACATGGAAATTATGCTGAAATTTGAAACCGGAACCCTCCTCACATATAAAGTAGGAATGTTCGTTCATTATTCATTTATTCATTCATCGATGGCTCTACAGCCCATTGTTGGGCCCTGGTCATTTCTTCAGTTTTGTAACTTTTCTTCTTACACAGAGGGCGGGGACTCCTTGGACAAGTGATGAGCACGTCGCAAGGCCGCTACCTGCATACAAAACAACACAAAAGCCCAAAAATACGTGTCTAACTTAAGAAGAGGCTGCGGATGCCCATAGGGTTGTGAGACGTCGAGGCTCCCATATTTTCTAGACCATTAGCTCACAGATGGCGGCGAGTTTGTCAGCCTTACGCACCGGCAGAAAGATTCTTGATACTAATTTCTGTTAGATGCTGAGTAGACCCTAAGGTAATACTGCGGCTGGTGGAATTAGTTCAATAAAAATTCAATGACCTCATCGGTTTTCTGCATTTTAAATAAGTCTGTACTTCAGCGTACTTGAAGTTATCTAGCAGAGGTATGCTGATTTAAAACATGACATGGCTATTTTAGCACAAGACCGTAATGAACGACTTTACCGACTACACTAGCGTTTCTTTGGTAAACACCTTATCTGACGGTCAGTTTGTCCTTCCGTAACAAATGACTACAGAAGAGTGTCAGCTCTTAGATAAGAGCTCTACTGGAAATCTAGAACAATTCGTCTCACAGCGCTTTACTAAGTGGAACATGGTTCGTTTTCATTTGAAGGGCTACACAGGTGGCCTGAATACTGAGTATAGTGAGGGGGTGGAGTCCAACTGGGTCCACTCGGCACGTCGGCCACTGATTGGCCTATTGTAGCCTGCCCCGGGTGATTATGATGATGGAGAATTTGGTGGAATGAAGATTGGCAGGGGAAACCGAAGTACTCTGAGGAAACCTGCCCCACCGTCACTTTGTCCACCACAAATCCCACTTGACCAGACCCGGGATCGAACCCGGGCCGCCGGAGACGCCGGGGGTGGAGACACCTACTATGTTGGGTCCCTTAGAAATAACGTTAATCACTGGACAACCCCTGTCAGATTCACTACAGCTATTTAATCTCCCGAGTCCAGGCTCATTTGGAGGGAGATAACAGAAAAATATGAAATAAAAATTGTGATAGAGCACTCATATTCATGAAACCTCCCTTTCCATCTCAGTTCCACGAATGCGCGTGCTCTATCACAATTTTTATTGCATATTTCCTGTTATCTTCCTCCAAATGAGCCTGGACTCGGGAGATTAAACAGCTGTGGTTGTCCAGTGATTAAGGTTAGCTCGTTCGAAGAGACCCAACAGAGTAGGTGGCTTCCCACCTCACCTGAACGAGGAAACAGATCCAGTTTTAGAAATGTGTTTTCTAGCATGCCGGACGATAGGCAAAGTCCAAAATTCCAATATTTCTGATTATCAGTTCTGGTTGAAATCATAATCCTATCTACTCAGATTGTCTAAAACAAGGCTCCTTAATTCTTAACAAGCTTCGAGATAATTAAACGAAGGGAATTTTGAAAATCTATAGGTGATAACAGATCGCTTCTGTTGTCTAGTGGTCAGAGTTCTTGCCTGCAGATCCTGAGGTCCCGGGTTCGATTCCCGGTGCTACCAGATTTTCTGAGAAGTTGTGGGTCTGCAACGGGGACCACTTAGCATCGTGAGGTTAATTGAGGAGCAATTTCAAGGAAATATTGGCTCCGGTCTAGAAAACCGAGAGTAACGGCCGTAGGGATCTGTTGCACGGACCACGCGAAAACCTTTATCTGCAAAAGTTGGCACTAACTTCGCCGACAAGCGGCGGTCGCTCGGTCGATATACTTCGCTTGAGGACTACAGGCCACGGAGTAGGGACCTGAATTTTTGCGCAATGTTCACAGTTTGTTCAGATCCATTTGTAGGACTGGACTGAGACACGAGTCGTTTCTTACAGTACATTCAGATTGGGCTATTGTACCAGCTTCTGATGTTATATGAGTATGGATGAATGGTGGAATAATAATTTGTCGGGGTAAAACCGAAGTATTCGCACAAAAGCCTACACTAGTTGATTCTGTCCACCACAAATCTAACATGGACTACAGTGAGATTTGAAGCTGAGCCTATACTCCATGTAGCCAGCTGCAGCAGTCTGAGTCATGGTATTACTTGACATATTGTCACTTGCATGCGTGACCATAGACGGGGTTTGAATTGATGAATAGATTTATTGACCGCTTAGATGTCATATTTTTTTATTGCTTGTGGGGTGGGACTGCCGCCACTTGTGGCCTATTGTACCAGCCCCAGATGATAGGAGAGAGTGATTGTGGAGCAATTGGTGGAATGAAGATTGGCAGGGGAAACCGAAGTACTCGGAGAAAACCTGCCTCAGCGCCACTTTGTCCACCACAAATCCCACTTGACCAGACCCGGGATCGAGCCCGGGCCACCGCGATGGGAAGCCAGCGACTAACCGCTTAGCTATGGCGCGGCCATAATGTAACTAAAAAATAACTATAACACTGTTGCTACGTCCACACTTCACAGTTCACTAGAGTACACAGCCTAGTGCTCTCAGTGTGTTACTGGACGTTTCCTTGTAACGGCTCCAATAATACATAATTTTCTGCCTCCAGCTCCAGTTCTGTCTTTGCAGACTCCCGTACAGAACTATAAACAGAGCTTGTTCCTTTCTTACCATATTTCATCAGGGACCACATAGAAAACACAGCTCTTCTATTGTTACATATGTGTCCGCTGATGTTGGAACTTGTTTACGGATCCGTTGCCCAGAAACGGTTCTGAAATATCCGTCCATCTCGCGGTCATTGCAAAGCAAAACGCAACAATATTAACTACATCGAAGAAATCGAATTGTTCTTGAAAATTTGTCACCGAACATTTTGATCTAGAGGCAACGATTTTGGAATCATATTTGGTAGTTTCTCGGTGTAAATGTTGATTGGGACACCGTCTATATTCGCTCAGTTTTTCCGTGGCTTTCTCTCGTCAGTCTCTGTACCCCGTAGAGTTTTGATACCGAAAGCATCCTTAAGTAACACACGCAAAAGAAAAAGAAAATCTGTTATGCAGTCGATCAAGACATCAGTGTTCCACTTTCCCAAGCAAGGTAAGACAGAGGT